TGCCGCCCCTGCCTGGTCCTATCGTGGATGCACTCTTAAGTACCACAGCAGGCTGCTTCAGTAGCAATTTTTAGGTATTATGATCCTCCCCGAATTTTCTGTAGCCTTTTCTCGGGACATTTTCGTTTGAGGTTTTCGCGCGAACGGCAGTTTCAACTTGGGCGTTGGCGTTTCACGTTTATGCCCTCTACCGGTTTAGCCATAGAAACAAGAAAGAATTATTTTCCTTGAAGAGGGCGGCATTTTGAATTCTCAGACAACAGCAGTGTTTGATTTTCAAATGGAAACAAGAAGCGTCATATATTTAAAAAGACTGGTTTACAAACTTTCTTATCAGTCAGTACGTGGCATACGCAGAAATCCAGAATGAAAAACGTTGAAGTGAATCAGTTACGCAAAAACCTACATCTCGGCGTTAAAAACTCGCGTTGAGAACTGCAAACGTGATCGCAGAGCTTGGTCACGCCATTTCTAACGGTTTGCTGTTTGAAGTTTCCGGTTCTTCCGCAACTGCGCGCGTTACATAGAGGCCCCAGTTATATGGTCTCGGGTGCCCGAGACAACCCTATCCCCGAGGCAACTTTAGCGAGCGTTTATATGTGAAAACGTAGTTCCTGTAGGCCGAGTCAAATTTTTTTTTTTTGACCCTGTGCGATTATTCATAACCCATATTGAATAATCAAATGTGCAAATATCTCTCTTTCTTTGAGGTTCCCTCGGTCATTCGATCACAGTGGGTTTTGCCGAGTTAATTTTCACTTCTTTGATACGAATTTCTGCTTTAAATCCAAACTCTAGGCATTACGTGACACTCGCCACGCCGAGAGTTGTCCCGATAAGGGGAGCCAAAGCGTTTATATGAAGAAAAGTTGTCCCGCTTGCCAGGGCTACCCTACCTGCTGAGGCGAGACAACTCGCCCACCCGAGTTGTCTCGCCCCCTGAGACGGCTTCGCAATCCTGTAATCCGCGGTTGGTTGAATTTTGCAAAGAAATAAGCTAAAAGGTACCTCGGCCAGGGTAACGCGGGGGAAGGTTGTCTCGGGTACCCGCGACCACATAAGTGGGGCCTGACTAACTATTTCCAGACCCTCCTGAGATTTGCAAAACCGGGAATCGAATCTAAAAACAACTCGAGATCTAAGGATTACCTTGGTAATAGGGCCTATATTGGGGATTAACTCCCTGACCCTAAATCATCCCTCGTGTAGGCATGGTGGCTTCATTTTTAGTGCGCTCGTCTCCACTCTATACACTCTACACACTCTACACACTTTATTATTTTCAAATTACATTCTACAAAGAAAGGGCATGCTCGCAATTAGCCAAGGCTAATCTACGCTAATCTACACGGGCCATGCCTTTAAAATAGCCGAATTACAAAAATATACGAAATCAGAAATTAACTAGTAAAAGTTTTCTCTTATAAGGGAAAAAATACAGTATTAAATTGATAAAAATTTGTCTCCGCATCGAGCGGTCTATGTTCAAGCCCTTGCCGGAGACATTGTGTTGTGTTCTTGGGCAAGACACTTTACTCTCTCAGTGCCTTTCTCCGCCCAGGTGTATAAATGGTTACCGGCGAACTTAATGCTGGGGGTAACCCTGCGATGGACTAGCATACCATCCAGGGGCGACTCCTAGTCGCTTCATGCTACGGAAACCGGTATATGCTCCGGCCTGGCTCGTATGCAGACTAAATCATCCCTTGTTAGTAATTGTTTCTGGCTGCCATTTCTTTTAAAAGGGAAAATCTCTCTTCCCTGTTCAGTAATTACACAATAAATCTCCAATATTTATTCTACCGTAAAGTTTCGAAAGTAACTGAACGGCCCGCAGAAAATAACGTTAAAACTAAACGGCTGTTAGCAAACACCGAGAGTATAGCGACCCTTCAAAAAAACATCTACCGAAGGCAGCGATCTCAAACGTAACAAAGAGGCCTTTTTGCAAAACAACAGTGAGAAAAAACAGATACAACGAACAGCAAATTGATCATTCTCTCCTGATGTTACTCATTACAACATGTTATCTCCTAAATTACTGCTTCTTTTATTCTAGACAAGGTTAGTTAAGTTTATTATTATATTTTGTGCTAGAGATATACGCTTAAATTCTCCTTTGACTGAGTAATAGTAAAATTAACCGACTCGTTTATATAATAAACGTTCTCGCTTAACCGAAATTACCTACAAACCAAAAATAGCTTTGGGAAACGGCTTCTAAAATTTCCATCAGAAGGTTATTTTCACAAATTCCTTTCCCGCTACCAGGAAAGGTACTAGGAGAATGAAGAGATTTTGAATTTAACACTCAAAATACTTAAGGCAGAATATTTGAAATAAACATTTTTTGTACTATGGTGCTTAACTAAGGAATTCGCTTCCAACAAAGATTTAGTAAAACAGATCAAAGCCAAAACTTGAGCAATACTTGCAATTCTAACAATGCATTGATTCACATTTTAAAATCCCTGTTTGCTTCAAGCAGAAAGCATGCCTACAGCAGAACGCACTCGACTGATTGTTCCAACTTTTACCACCTGTCGTAAGTTTTCTCTAACGTCAGAAATGATGTAGAGTTCCCCACTAGGTGTCAAACAATATTCCTCTTTCAAACATTCAACGATGTAATGAGGTATATGCCAAGTTCCATACCTAAAGTGTACATCACTTTCTTGAAACGAAACCTGTCCGTAAAAGATACGAGTTTTTAACACAAGAGTTTCGCTGTCAGCGATCTGTATTCCTTCGTACCTTGACCTTGATACTTCAATCAACTTTGGATTAACAGACCATCGAAGTGTGCCATCAATGCCTTGCATGATTGTAACTCCAGTCACGGGCGTGTCATGATACTGTTGAAACAGATCTTGATTAATGTGATCCGGGACCGTAAATGTGGGGTTCCACAGTTGAAGATCTGCTAACTGATAAGATATTATTCCATTAAAAAGTAAACTCCTCAGTAACACAGGTTCCCCAGTGATACTTACAGCAGGAGGATCTCTTGACTTCATTGTTGTGGTGGCTTGCGTAGCTGGTTACTTCTTAGTTTTTGTGTTCAACCCATGTCCTGGTTCCCAGTCTGAAGGGTGTCTTTAAAGGGAATTAATTTGCGATTGACCTGAAAGGATAGGAAACGATTCAGCTGCTGAACTTGAGACATCACGGATCATTCTTTTTTTTTTTTTTTTTTTTTTACAAACTCTAGAAAGTTGATTAGGACGGTGGTCATGTCGAAATGAGAAACTGAACCTTTGCTAAATGGTAAATGGGCCAGTTTTGACATATTAAAAGTTAAAACTTGGTCCCGTGGCTTGGGGAAATAAAACAAACAAATCATTAAAGGTCACTTCAAATAGTGACTGTGGACAAATATGATGCATTTTTACCTTTAGGAGATCTTGACGTATTGAACTCCTAAGGTCTAGCTTGTGCCCTGTTGCCCATTTCATTGCTTATTTCAAAGCGAGAGACCACTGAACTTAGTTGCTGTGCAGGATCTTCTTCCACGTCTTCTATCTCGAGTTCAGTAGAGCTCGCTGACTGCGGTGTTTGTAATGATGGTCCTTGTGGCGGTTGATATTCAAA